CATTAAGGTCCAAAGGGTCCAAAATTAAACTTAGTTTGATTTTAACAAAAATTGAATTCTTAGGGTTCTTTGATATGCTGAATCTAAACATGTGTTTAGATTTTTGATTATGGGCCCAGTTTTCAAGTTGGTCCAAGTTGGGGTCCAAAATTAAACTTTGTTTGATTTCAACAAAAATTGAATATATGGGGTTCTTTGATATGCTGAATCTAAACATGTAGTTAGATTTTAGATTTTTGGCCCAGTTTTCAAATTGGTCCAAATTGGGGTCCAAAATTAAACTTTGTTTGATTTCAACAAAAATTGAATATATGGGGTTCTTTGATATGCTGAATCTTACCATGTATTTAGATTTTTTATTTGTGGGCCCGCTATCAAATTGGTTCATATTGAGGTCAAAAGGGTCCAAAATTAAACTTTGTTTGATTTCATCAAAAATTGAATTATTGGGGTTCTTTGATATGCCAAATCTAACCGTGTATTTAGATTTTTAATTTTGGGTCCTGTTTTTTAAATTGGTCTACATTAAGGTCCAAAGGGTCCAAAATTAAACTTAGTTTGATTTTAACAAAAATTGAATTTTTGGGGTTCTTTGATATGCTGAATCTAAACATGTGTTTAGATTTTTGATTATGGGACCAGTTTTCAAGTTGGTCCAAGTTGGGGTCCAAAATTAAACTTTGTTTGATTTCAACAAAAATTGAATATATGGGGTTCTTTGATATGCTGAATCTAAACATGTATTTAGATTTTAGATTTTTGGCCCAGTTTTCAAGTTGGTCCAAATTGGGGTCCAAAATTAAACTTTGTTTGATTTCAACAAAAATTGAATATATGGGGTTCTTTGATATGCTGAATCTAAACATGTGTTTAGATTTTTGATTATGGGCCCAGTTTTCAAGTTGGTCCAAGTTGGGGTCCAAAATTAAACTTTGTTTGATTTCAACAAAAATTGAATATATGGGGTTCTTTGATATGCTGAATCTAAACATGTATTTAGATTTTAGATTTTTGGCCCAGTTTTCAAGTTGGTCCAAATTGAGGTCCAAAATTAAACTTTGTTTGATTTCAACAAAAATTGAATATATGGGGTTCTTTGATATGCTGAATCTTACCATGTATTTAGATTTTTTATTTGTGGGCCCGCTATCAAATTGGTTCATATTGAGGTCAAAAGGGTCCAAAATTAAACTTTGTTTGATTTCATCAAAAATTGAATTATTGGGGTTCTTTGATATGCCAAATCTAACCGTGTATTTAGATTTTTAATTTTGGGTCCTGTTTTTTAAATTGGTCTACATTAAGGTCCAAAGGGTCCAAAATTAAACTTAGTTTGATTTTAACAAAAATTGAATTTTTGGGGTTCTTTGATATGCTGAATCTAAACATGTGTTTAGATTTTTGATTATGGGACCAGTTTTCAAGTTGGTCCAAGTTGGGGTCCAAAATTAAACTTTGTTTGATTTCAACAAAAATTGAATATATGGGGTTCTTTGATATGCTGAATCTAAACATGTATTTAGATTTTAGATTTTTGGCCCAGTTTTCAAGTTGGTCCAAATTGGGGTCCAAAATTAAACTTTGTTTGATTTCAACAAAAATTGAATATATGGGGTTCTTTGATATGCTGAATCTTACCATGTATTTAGATTTTTTATTTGTGGGCCCGCTATCAAATTGGTTCATATTGAGGTCAAAAGGGTCCAAAATTAAACTTTGTTTGATTTCATCAAAAATTGAATTATCGGGGTTCTTTGATATGCCAAATCTAACCGTGTTTTTAGATTTTTAATTTTGGGTCCCGTTTTTTAAATTTGTCTACATTAAGGTCCAAAGGGTCCAAAATTAAACTTAGTTTGATTTTAACAAAAATTGAATTCTTCGGGTACTTTGATATGCTGAATCTAAACGTGTTTAGATTTTTGATTATGGGACCAGTTTTCAAGTTTGTCCAAGTTGGGGTCCAAAATTAAACTTTGTTTGATTTCAACAAAAATTGAATATATGGGGTTCTTTGATATGCTGAATCTAACCATGTATTTTGATTTTGGACATTGGACCATAATAGGTAAATTAAAAAAATTGAAGTTCTTAGACCACATTCTTTCTGTGTCAGAAACCTATGCTGTGTCAAATATTTAATCACAATCCAAATTCAGAGCTGTATCAAGCTTGAATGTTGTGTCCATACTTGCCCCAACTGTTCAGGGTTCGACCTCTGCGGTCGTATCAAGCTGCGCCCAGCGAAGCATTTTATTGGTTATTATCTTGAATATTATTATAGATAAAGATAAACTGTAAACAGCAATAATGTTCAGCAAAGTAAGATCTACAAATAAGTTGTCATGACCAAAATTTTCAGTCGACCCCTTTAGGAGTTATTGCCCTTAATAGTCAATTTTTAACAATTTTTTGTAAATTTTTGTAATCGTTTACAAAAATCTTCTTCTCTGAAACTACTGAGACAAATTTAACCATACTTGGTCATAATCATTATTAGGGTATCTAGTTTTAAAAATTTGTCGATGACCCCACCTTCCAAACATCATGACCGACTTGGTTAAAAATAGAACATAGGGGTAAAATGCAGTTTTTGGTTTATATCTCTAAAGCATTTAGAGCAAATCTGACAGGTGGCAAAAATGTTCATCAGATTTAGATTTATCTGCCCTGAAATTTTCAGACAAATCTGACAACCCGTTGTTGGGTTGCTGCCCCTGAGTTAGTAATTTTACAAAAATTTTGCAGTTTTTTGTTATTATCTTAAATATCATTATAATATCTAATATCTTATACTATTAATTATGATTTTAACCTTATTTTACATGATTTCCAAAGCATCAGTAAATACAGGTGAGCGACACAGGCTCTTGAGAGCCTCTAGATTTTGTAGACCCAGCTATTCCATGCATATATTTTTGTGCAAGGAACATATTTATGAAATAATAAAAGCAGATTCCAGAAATGATTTCCATGACAGGGACACAGCTAAAGTATTTGACCAGTAAGAAAATTGTCAAGTATTGATCATAGTAATTCTTAGGAGAAATGGATTCAAAGAAGGGGTTGTGTTTGGCCGGCAATGGGTACAAATTTTAAAACGATCTGAAAATTATAGGAAATAGAGCCATATAAAATAAGGAGATGTGGTATGATTGCCAATGAGAAACCTATTCACAAGTCCGAATGCATGGATGTATTAGCAATTATAGGCAGCCTTACAGCCTTCAACAATGAGAAAAATCCATACCGTATAGTCATGCAGCTATAAAAGGCCCAGACTTGAAAAATAGGAAACAATTCAGTTGAGAAAACTATCAGCCTATAATTTATAACAAAACAATTTACCAAAAACAAATATGGCCGAAATGAACTAACGACATTCACTGAACTGCAGGCTCCTGATTTGAGACAGGCACACAAAGAATGTGGCATACCCATATATTCTGAAAAGCCGTTTGCAAAAAAAAAAATGTACATTACATTGTCTTATTCATTTCAATGAATTATTTTCATAATACAAGATGTAGCATTTTGAGCAAAGAGTGAATTCATATTGGAAATTCACTGTCAACTTAAGGATTTATTGTTGGTGTTTCATTCACCTGAGCAAAATTCGTTTTGCATGGTTGTCCAAATGCATATGTCTGTAACAATTTATCTGTTGAAGACTTTAGGGGGAAAATCTTATTGTCTTGCTGTCAAAGGTTAGGAAATCAATACATTTTCAAACCCTTAAAAAAACATTGTGATTCTAAACTGCTGTCAAACAAGGCAACCACCATTTCTAGTAGCAAGAAATGAAATTTAAAAAAACAATGGAATAATTTTGATGATAAACCCACAAAGGACCAGTTTAGATAGGTATAATAGAATTATTGGCTTATAAATTGCTGTCTTGATAAAGACATAGATAAGCTATTTTGATCTATTTTTGTCTTGCCTGTCGCAGAAAGCAAGACATAGGGATTGCTTTTCCGGCTGCGGCTGCAACTACGGCTTCAAAAATTGTTAAGTTTTCTGATGAAGTTAGTTGGATAGGAACTACTTGTGATAGATCATTGATATTTAATATAAAGTTGCATTACTATCAGTACATATCAGTTTGATGACTATTTTGAGGCCCTGCCCTCTAGGTAATGAACCAGTGACTTTGAATTAATTAGCAATTTTAAATGTAAAGTTTTCTGCTTAAGTAAGTTTGATAGGAACTACTTGTGATAGATCATTGATATTTAACATAAAGTCGCATTTCTATCAGTACATATCAGTTTGATGACTATTTTGAGGCCCTGCCCACTAGGTCATAGACTAGTGACTTTGAATTAATTAGCAATTTTCAATGTTTTGTTTTTCTGCTTAAGTTAGTTTGATAAGAACTACTTGTGATAGATCATTGATATTTAAAACAAAGTTGCATTACCATCGGTACATATCAGTTTGACAATTATTTTGAGGCCCTGCCCCTAGGTCATGATCCAGTGACTTTGAATTAATTAGCAATTTTCAATGTTAAGTTTTCTGCTTAAGTTAGTTTGATAGGTTCTATTTGTGATAGATCAATGATATTTTGTATGAAGTCGCATTACTATCTGATTATTTTGAGGCTCTGCCCCCTAGGTCATGGTTCATAGACTTTGAATCAATTAGTAATTTTCAATGTTAAGTTTCCTGCTTAAGTAAGTTTGATAGGATGTACATGTGATAGATCAATGATATTTTGTATGAAGTTGCATTACTATCAGTTTGACGACTATTCTGAGGCCCTGCCCATTAGATAATGGTCTAGTGACTGAATTAGTAAACCATGTTACTGTCCATCAGATTGTCTATTTCTGAATTTTATGCCAACAGGCCAGACATATCTCTGTGTCAACAATTTATTAAAATAATTTTGACAATTGGGTTGTGTGCTATCTTTGATTGATATTGAGCTGTTTGATGAAATGGGTTAGCTCAGTGAATATAGATAATATGTTATTGTTTTCTTTTGTTTTCAGTACAATGTAGTCCCACCATTACAACCCAAAAAACATCTCCAATACAAAAATCTGTTGGTGATACAGTATGGATGTTATGTCAGATCAAAGATCTTAATAATGAAGTTGTAAGTAATTTAGATGTCAAAATCAAAAGTTGAAAATGTTAATTCTCCTTTAGTTGCCATTTATATATGTTACAACATTTCTTCGCTCAAGATAGTTTTAATAAATTTTCAACAGACAACCTTTAGAGAAATAATGTTACTCGTAGGCAAAGAGTCAGATTATGTTTCTCCCATGTTTTTCAGTCTTTCTTGTTTAAAACCCTATTAATACATAGGACAAAAATGGTGTCTCAATTTGGCTACAAATCTAGCATGAATACTGAACAAATACTTATACAGATAGAAGTGTAAGAGAAGACAGATGTTTTCAAAAGATCATGATGATTTCTAAATTTGGTGAGACTTTTTATCTGGCAGGAAAAGAATGTATATCGAAAATATGCAAATTTTATTATTTTCTGTATCTCTGTTTTCCTCTAGTCATGCTAGTAATGAATGAAAATGATGTTAAGTTTTTGTTCTGAGGTAGATCTCAGAAAAATATGAATATATATAATTATGACTTAAAATTGATGGTGACGAGATTGTTACAGGTGTTATGGAAATTTGTTGACCACAGTAAGTTCATAGCAAGGGGAGACAAGTTACAAGTCAGTGACGTGAATCATTATAAAATTGAGGTATTACAAGGAGAAACTTCAGGTATGTAATAATATTGAGAAAGGCAATGATTGTATATTGTATTGTCTGCATACAGGCATCTTAAAAAACAGCTTAATTTTTATCTGCCTGGACAAAATTTTGCAGTCCTTCAGTCATGGTCTATTGCATATTTACATGTTAAAGTTTGTTTTTAGATCAGTTTAAGAGGAACCACAAATAGTAACTCACGGATATTAGCAATGGCATGTTTCATTTCAACCTAGATCATTTAGCATTTTGACCTCAATCATGGTTCATTAACTCCCAAAAGATTTTCATAACATGTAGAAGAGTTACCATTTTGATTTAAACATTTGTATTATACATTACTATCAAAATTATATACAGGCAAGATACATCTCTGTGTCAACAGTTAAAGGTAAAGATTTTCTTCATTTACATATAATGCATCTGTAATCAGGGATTGATAAATGTGGTTTGTTGTTTTTGATTACATCCTTTGGTATCTGGTCCCTCTCTTTATATGAAAATTGTCTTTCATTTACCAGAAAAAAAAAGATATTGCAATATGTTTGTCGAGAAAGTCTTAAGTTTGAATATATATTTGATATTATTAATTTTAAAGATTGAGATATTGCAAAATTCAGCTTTTGTGGGTCTAATCATTTTTATACGGCCGCAAAAAAATTTTGTGGTCGTATATTGGTATGACGTTGGCGTCGTCGTTGACATCGTCCGGTGTCGTCGTCCGAAGACACATTGGTTTTCGCACTCTAACTTTTGTTTAAGTGAATGGATCTTTTTGAAATTTGACCATAAGGTTAAATACCACAAAAGGAAGGTTGGGATTGATTTTGGGGGTTATGGTACCAACAGTTAAGGAATTAGGGGCCAAAAAGGGGCCAAAAATAAGCATTTTCTAGTTTCCAGACAATAACTGTGGAACGGTGTATGGATCTCTCTGAAATTATACTACAAGTTTCCATACCACAAAGGGATCGTTAGGATTTGCTTTGGGGGGTTATGGCTCAAACCGTTTAGGAATTAGGGGCAAAAAAGGGGGAAAAACAAGGTTGTCCTGGTTAATGGACAAATACTTTAGTACAAAACATAATTTAAAGCAGTGTAAGGGAGATAAATCAAATATATCATTGAAATTATCTCCCTTACACTGCTATTAAATTATGTATAAAGTAAATGTATTTATAAAGGTTACTCGGGGACACGTGTATTTGTTTACTTTAAGCACGTGTGTTCAAATCAAAACATGTTTAATTTGATTGGACAAACAGTAAGTTATTACCGGTTAAGGTAATATCAATCATGATAACTTCATGCTAGAATTTAAGCGCTAAATTATAGTATTATAGTCTAGAATTGTCATTCGAGGTTCGCCTATCCGACAGTACTGTATCGTTTTCGTAAATTGTCAACTGGTAAAATGTCCGAATCGTCTCAACGTCTAGAATTGAACGAAGACCTACTACTTGCAGGAGATATACCGCAACCTAAGATTCCTACAGCAGCTGATAAGTCGTCTGATTTGGTTGATACCGTAGAGCTTTTCAAGACTATCTTAGACAGCAAATTAGGTGAGTTGAAGTCAGAACTCATCCAAGAGCAAGAGAGCCTTAAGAGAAAGATTAAGGAAGACGTCACTTTAAAGTTCAAGGGTAAAGGTAACAGAATCCAATACACTTTTAATGAGGAATTATTAGAAACTGTAAACAAACTGTCCAAAATCATCCCTTCCTCTAATACGCAAGCCTATAGATTAGTTCTTGATCTTACAGATAAGCTTAGAGGCCGTATTAAGAAAATTCGCATAGCTGATTCTTCCCCTGCTGGATGGGGAACCGTAAAGGAATATGAAGCCAATGCCGTGGCTTCAGATTCTGAAGATGAGAAAAAGATACGCCAAGCTGAGACCAGAGCTATCCGTACCTCTAAGGAGAAGTCTAAATCTCGCCAGCAACCTTACCCTAAGAATCCGCCTCGTCAACAACCTGCAGAATCTTATGGTAACCCTGCTTATGCTCAGCATTATCATCGTACTCAACAGCCGCCCTTTCGTGGGAGCTTCGCAAGGCGTGAGCCTTGCTCACTCGACATGTGCCACTACTGCAAGCAGCAAGGCCACTGGAGAAAGAACTGTCATCTTCTCGCCAGCTTCAGGTCATTCAACACCAACTCCACAACCTACCAAAAGTTGTAAAGTAGAGCCTGCACTTCACTCTTCAGCCATCGTGAATGATAAGTATTTAGATAATGACCAATTTTCAATATGTTTTCACGATAACGATCATATAGAATCTTTTCTAGAACAAGTTCAATATTTGAAAATTGTCAGTCATATGACAATTTTAAAGGGGTGAAAGGTAGATTAGCTAGTCATGTAAAGTATTGGGAAAATATAGGCGCTTTTCCTTTTGTGCCTGATATAATCAAGAATAGTTATGTTATCCAATTTAAAGATACACCTTTTAATATGTATCACACAAATAATAGATCAGCAAGGCAGAATACTGAATTTGTCACAAAGTCAATTGAAGATTTAGTTCAAATAGGTTGCGTAATAAAAGTGCCTTTCCAACCATATGTGGTAAATCCATTGAGTGTTGCTTCTCAAAAGTCCGGTAAGAAACGACTTATTTTAGATATGAGTCAATAGAATAAACACATAAAGCGCGAAAAAATAAAATTCGAGGATTGTAAGATAGCTATACAATATTTTGACAAAAATATGTATCTGTTTAAATTTGACCTTGAATCTGGTTATTTTCACATCGACATCTGCCCACAGCAACAGACTTTCTTAGGTTTTCAGTGGGAAGGCCAATTTTATTGTTACACTGTTTTAGCCTTTGGAATTACTACTGGTCCGTACATTTTTACCAAATATTAAAGGCCACTAGTAAAATTTTGGCGTGAAAACGGTATCGAAGTTGTTTTGTATTTAGATGATGGATTTGGCATGAGTCCAGATGAAAATACATGTAATGAGCAGTCGTCCTTCGTGAAAAGGTCTTTGGTTGATGCTGGTTTCCTTATAAACGAGGAAAAGTCTGTATTTAAACCTGTTACTGAGTTAGAATGGTTGGGAATAGTATGTAACTCGAAAGAATACAAATTGTCTATTACTCAACGTCGAGTTGGCGATTTAATTTCCTCATTGAATGTCATTTCGGCTAATTTTCCTTATATTACAGCTAGATCTTTAGCTCAGGTCTTAGGCAGAATTATTTCTATGACTCCCGTAATCGGAAATGTGGCTAGAATCATGTCAAAGTTCTGTTACATGGAAATTGAAAGTAGAATCGGGTGGGATAATCCCATTTCAGGGTATAAACCCGTCGAAGTTTTATCAGAATTAAAGTTCTGGTTAGAAAATGTCACTCTGATTAACTGTCGTAAATTAAGTCACTACAGTAAATCGTCTGCTGATATATACTCAGATGCTAGTAATATCGCGGCCGGTGCATATACCGTTGAATTAGAAAATAAGATTTTCCATAAGATGTGGACATGTAGTGAAATGGTGCAAAGTTCCACCTGGAGAGAGCTTAAAGCAATAGAGTTAGCCCTATTTTCTTTTAAAAATAGTTTCACGGGAAAAAACTATAAAGTGGTTTACTGACAATCAAAATTGCGTCAAAATTGTTAATTCGGGAAGTATAAAAGAAAATCTTCATATTATAGCAAAATAGATTTTTTCATTTTGCATTCAGAAAGGAATATCAATTAATATTCAATGGATTCCCAGAAAAGAAAATGAAAAGGCTGATTATATCAGTAAAATGGTTGACTTCGAGGACTGGGGAGTCACACATATATTTTTCATTTTTTTAAATGATATGTGGGGTCCTTATTCGATTGACAGATTTGCTAGTGTCGAAAATAGAAAAGTTTTGAGATTTAATTCCTTATTTTGGCAACCTGATTCTGAAGCAGTTGATGCGTTCTCTCAAGTTTGGACCAATGAAAATAATTGGCTGGTTCCACCAATTAATCTTGTGATTAGATCGATTAAACACATTATAGCTTGTAAAGCTCGAGGTACGTTAGTTGTGCCTAAGTGGATTTCTGCTGCATTCTGGCCATTGATATTCGATAAACATTTGATTTATCAAGATTACGTAAAATATGTTATAATTGTGTTTTAAAAATACTGATGGAATTTATGAACAAGGTTCTAATAAGAATACGATATTCGGAGTTGAACCGTTTGGTTCGCCAGTTTTGGCTGTTTTGCTAGATGCGTCTTAGACATGGCCCTAATATATGTAAATATATTTTAGCAGGCATGGTTTGTTACATGGCCCTAGTATATGTATATATATATTGTAGCAGGCATGGTTTTTTATGTTGACATGGCCCTAGTATCGGTAATGATATTGTAGCAGGCATGGTCAGTTGTTTTACAGTACGTGGCCCTAGTATCTATAATGATATTGTAGCTGGCGTGGTAATATTGAATATATATATATTATTTTACTCTGTGTATAGATATTTGAAATATGCGAATAATTCGTTCTCTGTATATGTATTTAAAATGTTATTGCAATTTTACGTTTTTCAGATATTTTTTCAGTAGGACAGTGGTCAGAGTTTAATTTACAAGTTGCCTCTAATAATGAGCTGAGCAGTTTGTTCAACCAGTTACCAGATTTCCTTCTTTCATCCAAGGCTGATAGTACTCAGAAGAAATATAGATATGCCTTCAATTCATAGTGTAAGATGACTAGTCAATATTCTTTTTCACCATTGCCGGCATCTCATTTGTATATTTCTTTATATTTAATTCATTTGTCTGAAACTGCAAAATCTGTTTCTAAATTAAATGATGCTTTTTACGCCATAAAATGGGCACACAAATTAGCTGGCGTTGCTGATCCCAGTGAAAATAATCTAGTTGCATCTGTATTGAAGGGGCTCATAGAAAAATAGGTCATTCAGTTATTAAAAAAGAACCTATCACACCACATATTTTGAAAAATATTGTATGTAAATATGCTAATAATACTTGTAATTTAAAAGAT